TCGTGTTTAACTCCTACAGGTCGAGCAGGTATCGAGCTGCTACTTGCGGTCCAGAAACACTTGTATTCGGGAAGCCAGGCTGTACTCCTTAAAACCCAAGATGCCTGTAGCATCTCATGTGTCTTATTTGTTTCGGGACTGGTCTGGTCATCTACAGGCGGATTTCTGAAAAACGTAGATATATTTATTTGTTTTGCCATGTTGGCTAATAAACCAAAAACATAGCGCTAGACAGCTCCAAGAGCGTCTGACGACAACGGTAGCTAATTAGGCTACGGCTACACATGCACCGCCCCGCTATATTTACATAATTGTCTTATTGGTCACAAAAGATACTGCGAGCCAATAGCAAATCACATACGATGAAAAAAATCAAACACGTAACATTAAAAAGCAAATCATGTAACGCAAACAAGGGAAAAAAATACTTAAATTACTTCGGACTGATAAGGTAGGCTTGGATCAATCAGGATGGGCCTGGCCCACCCGTGGCTACGCCCCTGATCACAATAAAGAATACCACAAATCTATTCAATTAACACCCAGATCTGACGGAAGACATTAAAGTAATTACACCCGATATAAATATGTATTTACTTAATTTCAGTTCTCTTCACTCACCGGGATATCTGAAAATGCACTACCGCATTCTAATAGCTCTACATGCATTAGCTGAAATAAAGATAGACGCCAAACTTCATTGTTAATAAATGGCGCTTTTATTAATAAACGTCACTATGAAGAATTGTGGTGTGTCTGGAAACCAATTGCATTGCGACGGATGCATAAATTCATTACTTAGTACCGATATTATTTCCATTATATTCTGAACCATCTCATAAGATCCAGAGTTCTGTTTAGTATATTACTTAGTTCGCTGCTAAGTTGCTTACTTAATAGCTGTTACTTTGGCTGCGTCGCAACTGAGAACGTTTAGTACGAAGCTGCGGACTAATTTTATTTTTAGCAGCCATGTTCGTTGCAATTGGTCTTAATTTGGCGCACTAGTTTAGCACGAAGCTGCGTTGTAGCCATAGGGTGAACCCCTGTTAGTATGTTGTTTTTAGTTAGTAGCAATTGATCTAACATGTCTAAGAAAATAATTACGTGAATTGCTTGAGTATCCAGTTTGGAGCAACCGGTATCTAAAAAAAAAGATGTCCATACTGTTTTAATATGAACTGTTATTACCAATATTAACGTTTATATTAGCTATAATAGGAAATTAGTTTCGGATTCAGATTCTAACTGAATTCAACATTGTTGTGGATATACTACTTGAATATGCGTGAAAATGCATGAAAATTCTGAAGATTTGCTCTTAGACGCTTTTGGGGAAAAAACGCTTTTTTAAAAAGTTGTTTGACCTAGTTGGCACTCCGTACACATACGGAAGTTTTGATTTTTACTATTGTGCACGTGTCCCGAGATTCTGACGTGTATTTTTGTACCTTAACATTTTTTTTCGTGGTTTATGGAAATAGAATAAAAATGCAGCGAAAAAGAACACTAGCACAAAAAACATCAGAATCTGTTCCGCCTAGTTCGAAGGTATTCAAAAACGTTCCGATTATTGGATTGTAACCGCGATGTTATGCCTTAGTCGTTACTGGCTACCTACTGTATGCAATTACTAAAACGAAATTTAAACGTGCCTTTTCTTATTTTAAAACCTGGATAAACTGTGTGAATGTTTAATGATGATCAGAAATGGCTGCAACTTGTTCATATTTGGAGTGGCGGTGGAAAACAAATGCAGGGAAATATTTAACACTTAAAAAGCTGATGAATCAGTAGTAAATCAATGGATTTAGTAGAGAAATGTATAATGCCCCATAGCATTTTAACAGAAGTATGCCGCTGAGATACAGAAATGGTTTATCTATAAAAAAAATATAGTTATACTGCATTTCCCCAGCAGAAGTAGAATAGCATTCAAACTAGGAAGAAGAAAAACAGCATCTAAATATTTTTTTTCTTTGCGAAAGTTATTATTTAAATAATACTTCCTACTTAAATACACACTTTTTTGAAATTCCTGGACTGTATATTTGCTATACACATGTACAGTATATTCGTCGTACATTATTAGTATAGTTAGTATATTGTAGTTAATTAAATATACAAACTATGTTTTTGTCCCTCAACAGCTATTTTACAATATTTCTAAGCAAATAAATACGATCTTTTGCGAAGATGTGATGTCTTTTGTCTTGTAGAAACCTAATAAAGGCTGTGAGGAGGGTTCTAATCCTCGGTCAGATGGCGGGTTTTGGGCTAGAGTTGTGTCAGCCGGGAAATGGTTTTTTCTTCTCGTCATTATCCCGCCGGTCCTAAATTATTCATCCCTGCAGAGAGAAGCGCTCTTGTTACAACCTGAAGGTAAGAAAAAAAAAGAGGAACCGGTGTTGAAACTGTAGGAATTGTTAGACGAAGCACATAACTGAGAACTGACAAAAAAAAAATAGCGCGTCCATTTAATTCAGTATATAGATTGTCTGCATGGAGGGAGGTTAATTTGTTAGCTGGTGAAAATCTAATTTACTTGACCCATTGGCACCCGTACCTGCAGGTGTTCTCTCGCTGCTTTATTAATTGAATCCCTAACTGAACTATCGTTTGTAAGTTTTATTTCCTCCTTAGGAGTTGGTGCTCTTCCGTTACTTACAAAATACAATTTAGTAGACATTTCAGCGTTGTTGTATATTTTTGTATCACTGTGGTTACTACCCCTTCTCTGCATATTCCTGTGAGAATTCCACACCGTTCTGAAAGGATTGTGAGTTTAGAATCTAGCAGTAATGCCTAGCCTCCAGAAAAAAGATGCTTCCATACACGAAAAGCTTCATGCAATCAGTTAAATTGGAAACTGCTTTGAAATGTTATTTGATTATGGGTTGCTTTGGGTAAGTGTCATGTCATGTCAGTGACATGATGTCTGATGGAACGTATTGTTAATAGGTTTGAATAGAGACCACTAATTGGTACATTGTGGTGCAAAAACCCATCTGTGAAATGCAGGAAGATAACTTCCTGCATAAATATATGTATCTGCTTTTGAGATATTTCCTAAGTCTATCCCTCAATCATAGTTATACTTTAATTAGAAGTTGGTGCCACCTGGAGGCCACATAGTTTTGTTCACTCCCATATTTCCTCTATGAAAAATCAACATTTGCATGGAAGGGGCACGTGAACCTGTTTATAATGGCATGCACATGTTTCTGAAATACACATTAACAAATTTCTCTGTAGAAAATCGAAATACAAAATCTGAAATCTAGTCTTTCTCCACTTTCTTTCAGGAGGGACGTTAATTGACATTGGCTTGGGCCAGAAGATCTACTTGGTCTGCAAGGGACAAGGACGGCCAGTTGGTAAAAACAACGATCTTAAATATTGAGTTACTATTCCCATGTGATTCAGAGACTTTGAGAGCAGAGAAGGCAGGGATGAGCACGAATGTTGTGCAAGATTAGTAGCCAATAAGAAATTTAGGATGTGCCTGTAGCAGAATTGTTTTTTTCTCATCTGCTTTTTCCATCTGCTTCGTTTTAGGTGTCATGTCTATTCTGCTGTTCCTTTATTTTTTCCACTTCTTTTCCATCTTTCCACTTTTTTTCAGCACTTAGGAAGTGCTCTTTTGCTATTCAAGAAAAATAATCTTCTGAAAGACATTTAAGAGTTAAGAAAATTACCTTCCGAAATATATAGGTTAAAGGCTAAATAATTGATCATCAAGGAGAGAAAGGGCACTGAATAACAACAACATATTTCATAAGTTAACCTAATTTTATTACACTTTTAAACATCCATCTCCTGTTATTTTTGGTGGGATAGAAATCGTCATTCTTATAGTAACTATCTACATAGAGCTCAGTGTAATTCAACTGATAAGAAGAAAATGAATGAACAAGAAAGGAATATGAGACAACTTGAATGAAGTGAGAGTGGATAGCATCTCTGCAGATAGAAGTCAACACTAAATAAATTCACCTTGAAACTGTACAGTAAATGTTTTCAGGTAATCTGTTGACAAAATGTATCATATATATATATATTTGTATAGTTTTATAATTTCTCACACATGATGCTTTCTTATAGTTATGCTGGATGCTTCTACCGGTATGTCTTCAGATGTGTGGTACCAGATACAGGATGACCTGTCAAAAATAACACAGGTTAGTACAAAATCTTTTGACACAAAACTATAATAAGAACATGCTAAGCAAAGGTCGGATCCCAAACAAGAAGGTAACTTAATAGTGAATTTGACAGCATGGCCATGGAGACATTTTGTTGAGATATGTTGAGTTTTTACCTGCAACAGAAGTGATATACAGGGCTGGTGTGTCGTAGGACTTAATGATCTCTTTATTGGCTTAAATTGTACAATTTTAAGGATGGAACAATGAATACAGTGGTTAGCATTGTTGTCTTGCTGCACTAGGGCCTGGGTTGAGTCAGCATTGTGTTTCAGCACTGTAGTTAGTGCGTCTTCTTTGGTAGGTTAAAACTGAATTTCTGAAGCGAGGGTTAGGGTTACATTTCCGCTTAAACATATACAGTACTTCAGGTAATGTTACATCCACACTTTGAATGGGAATCTAAATATAGAATGAGTGGTGTTGTTATCCTTACTTACAATTTTTGTTGCAGGCATCCTTTGATGAAATAGTACAAGATTTTTCCATTGGCAAAAGCCCACATCCCACTACGATTAAAGTGCTTGAATCTGCCAGTACATTAGTTAGGCCGTGTGGAATATAAACATAGCCCTGATAGTTTTAAAAATTTTCTCACCCTAACCAGGTGTTCATCAAGAAACATGCATCTAAATTGCTTTTTAACCTGTTTTTTAAGAAATTGTGGCTTAATGTGTAATTTAACATTGTATTAAGTTCTGCATATTTTTTATTGTATGTTTTATTGTAAGTTTTGCTCAGGTGTACAAGAAAGGGTTTATTTATCCTCAGATACTTCCACAGGAATTAGTATGATTTCACCTTAGAAATGAAAAATTGGAGTGCTCATAGTTGATTTTAGCATTTGTTTTTCACCCTAAAATGCAGAGACACTGGACTCCCATCTGTGATCAGAGTCAGTCATTGGCAGTGAACCATAATTAATAGTTAGAAAATTGTCTTTCCGCAAGAGTCTCCAGAAACCTAATATGATCTTTTTAATATGGTCACAAGGCCTGTTGTTAGTGGCAGCTGGAGCTGAACACTCAAGGACCCAAGAACTGATCAATAAACTAGCACATAACTGTGATCTGTAAACTGACAGTAGATCTTACTGTACTGTATGTTTTCTGTTTTGTACAACTGTCTTTAGTTAGATTTAGACCCTCTTTGGGTGCTGCTTTGTTTCACGCCTGTTTAATATAAATTACATTAAATCTTCTTGTTGTTATGGACTTATGCTCTTCCTGCCTTGTGCTCTTTTTGTAATTTCAGTTTAGAGTAATAAGATTATAGTTTCATTTCCTTCCATGATGCAGTACTGTCCAAGATTTGATTGTTTTTTAAAATACATTTTGAATTGCCAATTATCTTTGTGTTACCCCTCCCCAAATTGGAATACCTCAGTTTGCACCTATGATCCCCAAGATGACACCCCGGGGAGAATGGAAAAGTGTGGGCGCAATGCTTTTGGTCCTCCTTGTCCCTGGGGGGGCATCATAGGCTCAAGAGTCCAGAAGCATTAAATACTCTTGGAAGTCCTGGAACAAGCTAAGACCATCCCTAATGACAGTAGGTCCTCGGGAAGTGAATCCAGTGTTATTCCCACGTGAAAAAGGCAAAAGAGAAATACCCATAAGGATCTTACAGTTATGGGAAAAGGGAAGATTGGACATACCTTTTGTGATCTCGTGGATGTTTTTACTGAATGTCTAGATTGTGAGAATTATAGGACCAAAACACAGTCTGCATTGTTTAAAAGGTATTCCAGTATGAATCAAATTTTAGGGGTTAAACTAATTCGACAAAATGCATGCAGCACTACTAAAATCATATTGAAAATTTGTCAAAGCCAGGCCTCTCGCAATCCTTTTGTGTTGTCTAATACCGGGTTGTTTATTGCTCCGATCGGTAGAAGTAAACAATTCTGTTGAAGAAGGATTTTTGTTTATTACGTAGTCTTTAGTCTGAAGTAAATTAGGGAAATCTGCTCCCCGATACCATGCTATCTGAACTGTTTGACTAGTAGCAAAGTTGGAGAAAGGCCATTTCTGTCCACTACAAAATTTAAAAACCAAAAGCAGGCTTGAATGACTCATTTTCATACCATGTTAGGCTCCAAAGTCATTAAAAATAGCAGATGAGGCAGGGCTTCATAGACAGTGCTTACATACTGAACGGCAATACATCATCTAGTTGTCATCCGAATAAGTGTAGTTAGCAGAAATAGAGGCAGACATAGTAGAGAAGATCAAAGACCCTAGGCTAGTGTTTCCATTGATGACAAGAGAAACAGCCAGTGTGAACCTTCCTGACAAGTGCCCCAATGTAGCATATTGGGAAGACAACTTGTTGTCTGACAACACTGTTACTGAGAGATTAATGTATGAAATCTTAACCATAAAGAAACCTGGTCCCAAGTCTAGAATAGGTATTCCTTCTCAAGCACAATTTAATGAAGCATTCCATGTGGAGAGACTGTAGCTTACTGTGGTGAGCTAATTTGGTCCCATCAACCTCTAAGCGCTGTGAGTGGCAGGAATGTTGGCAAAGCATTCATTGCTGTGGAGTGTGGAGCTACCTTTGAATTCTTTCCTTACAAGGCTAATTTCATGAGCAGTGGCATAGCAAAAGGTGAATCGTTGAGCATCTGCTGAAAAAGCCATTTTATTTTCCAGTGCAGTACGTTTAGTTAATTCATACAGTGAGGTAAATGCAGTAGAATTCTCTTTCATAAAGCCTTTGCATTTTTTGCCTCCCATAGAAAGTAAGTGAACATCAGTTAAAATCAAGAAGCAACCCCAATTTAGTTTGAAAATGAATGCAGGTAGTATGTTATTCCTGTAGTGGTGCCAGTAAGGTGCACGCAGTTATTTACTATCGGCAGAAATGAACACGATAATCCAATGGTGGTGTGCATTTTTCTGTATTGTGTTTCACATAAAACCATTGGGTAGCAAAAATAGTGTGATTTATGTCTAGTTGGAAAAAAATAATTTATTTGATAAATGTATTAAACATCATATAAGATATCTACCACACCCAGATGAGAAGCAGTAGCTCAGTTCTGCAGATGACCTACTGTACACCAGAATCTATTGACTTTGATTTATTGACTATAAGATTCAAGAAAACATTCATGTCTCCACCCAAAAATGAAAATCTTCAAGTGTTAAATAATGAACTCTCTGTATTGAACTTTTTGTAGGTGTGTTCATATGACAGGGTTGGACTGGGTTTCAGTAAACTACTGATGGAGAACGAGACCACAGGAATGGAGAAAGTTTGGAGGAAGTCAACAACAGGAAGGTAATTTGTCATGAATATAGAGCTTTGAGATTTCATTTCCATTTTCTTTCTGATATAACTGGATTTTCAAACATTTGGAAAATAATGACCGATTGCTTTCCTTTGAAATTTTAAAGGATACTTCAGTTCCAGAAACAATATCTGAAATAGTTTTACTGCATGGGAAGTCATCAATGCACATTCAATTCACAAACAGTTAGATAAAACACTGACTTCTTAAAGTGTCCTTTTACAGGCACGGTGAGGTGCAGTTCACATACTTCTGCTAGGGATCAGAAACCATAAATTGAACTAGGAAGCATTTGTTAATGTAGTGAGAAGCACTGAAAATGCAAGCATTGTACAGTTGGGAAGTTTTTGTGAAACAACATTGGCCCTGCAGTGTGAAGGCAGCACTAGGCTGACAGTGCGTTGGAAAATCGTTTTTTTGTTGTGATGCTTTTCCTGTTCTGATAACTATTGATGTGACCAGTTCTAGAATTCCACTTGTCTCTACAGTAGGTGTTGAGGATTTAAACAGGGCTAAATATAGAACATGCTGAACTGGAGAACTTAAGTCGATCATCTCAGCAGTAGCTCAGATTTCCAGCTTTATCTTAAGTAAATAGAATGTGACTTGCGTTTTTGTTTTGTTATTCTAATCAAATAATCTCTCTTCTTAAATTACCATGAACAAACCTTTATAGTTTCCTTCAGAAGAACAAGTATATTAAGTCTGTATTTGCTCAAAAACCTTTGAAAAACCCCTTGGTTTCCATTTGGTAAGAGCCTTATAGCTGTCATGCAGACAATAATTTGCTTTATGTGAACTTGCAGGAACACTAATGCTGTGATTGTTTTTCATTTGTAAGATAGAGGAATGTATTCGTGAAACATTTGCAAGCTGTTTTCACCTGTTTTTTTCCAAATAGGGAAATAACACTGAATTTGTCAAATATCTTATAGATGCATTTAAAGTTTTTGTTTTTTGTGGCCTTTTTTTTTAAAAGTGGGATTAGCGTAAAATTCTTTAGAATGTGTAGTAATGAAAGCCCTCTGTCAGAATAACTCGGTATAGTTTTTACATGCTTATTCTTTATTATACTGTATGTCATGTTTAAATAAGATGTCAACTGTCTCACTATGTAAGTAGTATGATACCCAATACACCCACACTGGAACATACAAAATGACATGCTGTCACAAATTGAATTGTAACTACAGTAACTACACGCTAGAGAGAGATGCTTCTAACTGCTTGCTGTAATATTGTTATCTGTGCAAATGCCACTTCTTTTTACTTTGTGCTGCTGTGGTATGCTGAGTTTGTAGACTTTAATAACCTGTCTCTTGCTCCACCATTTTTAAAAAACTTAGCTCTTTAGTGAAGGAGTTGGCCAGGCAGTATGCTTCTCACATGACTTCATCACTTTATGGCTGGAATCAAAACCACTGTGTTAGATTCACAAGGGACTAATTTAGTGCCGTATATAGCAGTTTCTAGCCTGTAGTCGTGTCCTTCTCCCAGCAAAAGTAATTTAAATTTTGTCCTTACTTTAGACATGTTTGGGACACCTTTGAACTACAGTGCAATGATGTGTTGCATATCTAGTGATTTTGATGTGTAACTCAATCCCAGTCTTCACTCTACTCATCTTTTTCCATGTATAAGATAAAAGCCGTTTCAGGAGTCCTGTGCCACTCTGGAGTCTTGCTATACCTTGTTTTAATATGGAAGAGCCACACCAAGAACACCCACAGCAAATGTCACAGTTGACATACATTTCTGAAAGTCACACGAGAGTGTTTTCCATTTCAGTGACTGCCTAGCGGTCCTTGGAAGTTGCTCTCTTGTGCTCCCAATATATAAATGAGCTCTCTCACTCTGTGGATTTACTGTACACTGAAAGTGCTTCCAGTGGATTTGTTGAACTGTAGTTAGAGGATGGGACCTTCATCACCACCCCCCTGCCCTCAGCAAACCAAATAAATTATTTTGAAGTTGAATTAGAGATCCTTATTCACTGGTATCTCTTGAAAAGAAAGATAGGTAGACCTCTCTTAAGAAAGTTTGAAGATCTGTAAATGTATATTAATGGGGTGCTATTTACTTTAATGCAAAAGAGACGGATAGCAGTAGCAACAGCTTGATTATAGTTAAGCATGCAATTGTACAATCTTTCATTCTCATCAAATCATCTTTCATTTAGACTGGATGATGGATTTTTATTGTTTTATTTTCATTTTTTAGCCTATAAAAGGATAGTTTTATGTCACAATAGTTTTATAGACCCAGCCTGACTAAAATCCTCATTTATCTGACAGTAAGATTGAGCAGCCTGTTTTTGGAAAAACATAACAAAGACGCAGTAATAAAACATAATAAAACATAATAAAACGTAGAGTACTGGCTATATAATTGATTTTATAATGCACAAATAATTGGATTATAGCATTTACATAGACTCTCTGGTAGTTTTTTCTCTTTGGTTTCATGCATTTCGTCTGGCCATGTAAGCACTGTTTGTAATGTCTGTTGTAATCTTTTGTCTTTGACAAAGCAATCTATTGTTGCGTATTCAATCTACGTGAAAGAGGTTAGATGTTGTATCTGGCTGGTCAGCAGTTGAGCTTGTCCTGGCATCGAGCCCAGACAGGAGGCAGCTACTGATTTTGATGCAAGCAATCAATTTCCCGAGTTCAATAACCCAGCAAGCTGGCATTTTGATGAGTACCTTCCCTGCTGCAGTAAAACCTCTTAATTTTGCCAGAGCACAATTTTGATTTATTGGTATTAGAGACCCGACACAACAGATGGCATTTGGTTGACTAGCATGCTTAACATTGTGTTTCTTTCTCGACAAAACAGCAGTTGTGCATGAGCGCAGTGCTGTGAGGCATATATCGTCTCCTGAATTAAGGTTCTTATTTGTCCTTGATTTTAAAAGTGTATTTAATATGTTGTCTCTTTCATCACTTAGTGAACATTTGGTTGTGGAAAGTCCTCAGTGATCTGTCAATTCATAGTTTCTTTGAGCTATCTGTCTCCATGGGTTATTGATTTCTGCCTTTCAGTTTCCCCAAGCACAGTGGGTCTCAGTCCTATTCCTGTCAGTTTTTGGTCCAGCCGGGTTTTTAATCGAGGGCCGGTTCATTTCAATTTCCTGTTTGAGGCTTTTTTATATAATTTCCTTTCAGCTTTTTTAAAAAAATAAAAGCTGATTGAGATTTGTAATTGGTATGAACCATGTGCTAATTAGTGAGTTTTAGGACTGCCCTCATTCAGGTGTGAGAGCTGAACTATAACCAATTACATTATAGTAGAAAGAAGAACACCGACTCACTGTGGGAGCTGTCTGATACAGGCTCATTCCAACCTGTATCTGTTCATCATCAGTTGATCACTTATTAAGAGCGGAGTAGTCAGACATAAGGGAGTAAGGGAGCAAATTCCTAATTAGCAAGTTGAGGAGAGTTTGTGTCAAAGTTCTGCGTGCTAAAATTGTTGGAAATGATGGGCTTTAGGGTATTTTTGATATCGAGGACTGATTGCCCAAAAGTGTCTGAATCTAAAAGACAGTCAGTTAAAGGCATCGTTTATCTTTGCTGGTTAAGGGCCCACTTGGAACAAAAAAAAACAGCAGACACAGGTATAATAATGGGGTGTTCTGAAACTGGATATGGATTAAAACATATACGGTATATTTGTCGTGCAAACAAAATAGGGATCTTACTTTTTTTCTGCTTGTATTACAGAATGGTTGATGATCTTCACCGCCTTATCAAAGAAGCAAAAATTCAGAAGCCCTTCATCCTGGTTGGCTCAGAGCTGGGTGCTCTGAATGGGCGATTTTACAGTCACATTCATGACACGTGAGTCAGAGTGACTTCTTGTTTTTTGATTACTATGTGTTCAGGTAAAATAAAATCAGTATTATTTCTGCAGAAAATGTATGATGTATTTTAAATGCAGTGTATGTGACACTTTATACCAATAAAGTTTAGTAAACCTGCAAAACCACTTGTTAAATTCACAAAGATATAAAGAATAACCTTTGAAAATAGAAGAATAACTTAAGAAAATACCTTTTGCCAGATTTGAGGATTTGTTCCTATTCATGAGTTTAATTTCAGTATCTTGGTTAAAAATAGATCTAGATGATATCCTTTGCTCTGTTCACAATCCAGATTATGTTCTTTTATGTATGCTAGTTTACTTTAACATTACTTGTTTAAGCTTCAGTCAATGCAAAATGTAGTTTTTAACTCTCCATAACTGATGATTGTAATGTATGGACTTGTTACACCTCATTATTACGTTTGAAATATAAAGCAAAGTCATGTTTAGTACTTACCAGAGCATTTTAAAGCTTTTAGTTGTGACAAACACATCATTAAGAGCTGTGAAATTACTAAATTATTTCTCATAAAGATAATTTGAACTGAAGCAGGGATTCAGAATTGGACTTTCTTACTTAAAACAAAAATTACTTTAGGTATTGCACATTGTCTGGTGTTGAAAAACAAGTGGCAAAAAACAGGGCTAAAGATGTTCTTTCAGCTGTATAAATGCCAGCCAGTAGCCATATCACCCTGCAACTCACAGCTGAAGCTAACCCACTGAAGCTAAGCAGGTGTGAGCCTGGTTATTAATATTATTATTAAATGGGCAAAAATATTTTATAGGGCAGCATTATATATTTAGGAACAGGCAAAGGTTTATTCCTTGGTCCCTTCTTCAGGTGTCACAACTCTTCAAACCTGAAGTCTCCACAGTCTAAATGCTGGGTCTCTTTTCTTTTCCTTTCTTTCTTTTCCTTTCAGCATGGAATAAACCTTTACCTGTTCCCTTGCAGCCTAAGGGCTTGAACTTGTTCATTATGTATTTAGTATCCTTACATACACATGAAGCTGACATTACTTTTTTATGAATTTAACAAAAATATCTTTCATAATGCTTTAAATACTGTTGTAATAGTTTTAATACATTTTTATTTAGCGAAACAAGTCAAGTTATAAAATATACAATTAGTCATGTTACTAGCTAATTAAATGTCTTGCTAATTAGTCACAGCCAAAACTATTCTGTAGTCTGTAGTCTTCTCTGTTTTTCAGGTTAGCAGAAATTGCAGTAGAATGTACTTTAGATAAGTGACAACACCTTTACATTTTGACAATTTCAGAATGATCTTAAACACTGTTAGGGCAGGTGCTTTGAAAGATGATCTAAACCTTTTGGGGAAAAAAAAATGAATGTTTTATATCACAAAACTGTATTGAAAATTGATTTAGCGCAGTATCACTAATATTCATTATCCAGATACGCTTAATATCTCTGGACTAGATATATACATAGACAGCACTGGAGAAACAAACTTGGTGCTCCAAAGTATGCAGTCTTAAGTTGAAAAAGAAAATTAAGATAGGGCCAAAACTATAGACCGTCACAGTGCAGGGTGATTAATTGGACCTGCAGTCTCGTCTTTGCTGCAAGATTTAAAGTTTCCATCACTTTTGATGTTAGGTGGTTGAGAAAGTAAATGAAGTTGTGGCTAATAGATGACATCCGGATATGTGCACAGGGATAAAAAAAAAACATTGCTCCACACCCACACAGTCTAATTTATCTCTTGAACAGACAGGTGGGCTACATCATACATCTCATCCTTATTACTGTGTGGCTTATACAGCAGACAAGCTGGAGTGTGCAGTTTATCATGGCGTGTCGTCTTTCTGCAGTGAGGTTTCTGATCTCATTCTCATTGATCCAATCCCTGAGGGCATTTTCACTGAGGGCCTTTGGCAGGAGTACTGGTAAGTCGTAGCTAAGCTGTTGTCTGTGGCTTTCTAGACCCTTTCTTCCTTAAAAATTTCTTCTATGTGTCTTTAGGGGAAAAAAGTGCCATTTCGTCTGTTGTCATGGCATTTTAAAGAATTAATCTTGTTCCTTAACCTCCACTTTATCCCCCATCACGATGCGTTGTAATTGTGAGGTGTGTGTCATCGTTAACAAAAAAGACCCATTATTTTTCATAAGACTGCAGTTTGAATTCTTTAGTGCAGTAGGAGGTTTTTAATACCTTAAAAACTTTAGCTAGTTTTAGTAGTAACTCTTCATGTTCAGATCCTGCTCATTTAAAGGTGTTATGGGGTAACCCACAAAAGGACTGCAATGGCTAGGGAGATGGCCTCCACCAGTACATTTCTAGATATAACTGTTCTGGTGGGTATTGTTTAATACTGTTGGAAATATTATTTGCTTTACTGGAAAGTGAGGATTTTTCACATGGGTCTTATCTGTAGAAAAGGGTCTGTCACAGAGATAGAGGGAGCAAGGAGATTTATTGTCAGGCTTCACTGTGAGAAACTTTTTTCATTACACAAAATGTGAATAAAGCCTGGACTGTTGATTTGCCTTCTGTGTCAAAGTGGAGGTTTTATTTTTAAATGTACCTGAGCCAGTCATATTTTTTTTTTGGCTTCCCCGTTTTTTTGCAGTTTACAATGAAACGTATGGTAAACTTCATTATCTGGTAGTGTAGTTAAGACCAAGAGCTGCATTCCTTTATGCAAAGGGTTGTGGGAGTATGGAACAAGCTACCCAGCCATTGTGTTGAAGTACATACAGTAGTTTGGCTGAAGAAACAGCTGGATGACATCTTGGAATTAATTAGCTATTAACCTCCAAATAGGCTAGATGGGCTGAATGGCTCTTATGTTCTTATGAGCTTAGTTATGTTTTAAGAAATTGAACAGAAAATGAAGAAATTATATGCATACATACACGTTAAATCTGTCTTTTAAGGAGTGGATTTTTTTTTACTTTTTATGCACTTTCCATTCTGGTGCAGAGCTAATGGAGCAGAACTTAAGCTTTCTATGAATGGTGAGCGGGAGTTCATGAAATCCTGCTCTGCGCACAGTCATTACGTTAAAAAAAAAATCTGTCATTTTCTTTTCCTTAAAAATATGTTGTTCAGCATTCTTGAACTTTCTGTTGAGGATTTTGACAAGTCAGTAACTTTAGCAAATAAGTAGCCTTTTTTGCAATACATTGAGTATAAATTATTACAAGAAAACAGCAGTGTCTGACACTGTCAGGCTCATGTATATAATAGCTTACAGATTTGCACTTCAAACAGATTTTCATTCAACATGGCTGATTCTGAAAATTATTTTTGTTGCGTCTTACAAAATGAGTTTTTAGTGTCTTTAGGGAATATTTCACATGGATTTGAAAGTGGGTAGCTGCAAGGGCTTCAGGAATTTCTTACAACCTTAGAGCAGCTTCTCTTTTATTATAAATCACAAGAGAATGAAGCAAAAGATCATGCATACAATTAAAAAAACATATGGTGTAAGTGGTAAGGAAAAGATCCACTTAGGCTACATTATTGTGAGTATTCTCTCTGTTTCTGGGCTTATTAACTTCTTGGTAGTGCAGATTGGAAAACCTGGACGTTGGAATTTCTACCACAGTTGTGATGCACCTTAGTATTTACCAGGGTTATATACAAGTGAGGAACTGCACAGTAGTACAGTGGTTAGCATTGCTGCTTCACAGTGCTGGGGCTCAGGGTTCAGTCCCGAACCTGGGATGCTGTCTGTGTGGAGTTTGTACATTCCCCTCGTATTCATGTGGGTTTTCTCCTACAGTCCAAAGACATACTGGTAGTTTAATTGGCTTTTGGGAAAATTGGGCCCTTGTTATGAATGTGTGTATGTCCGTGTGTCTGCCCTGCAGTTCACTGGCATTCAGGGTGTGCCCCACCTTGTGCCCGTTGCTTGCTGGGATACGCTTCGATAAAAAATTACCACGACCCTGTACTGGAAGAAGAAATTATAAAATGGATGGATATGCAAATGACATTGATTATACAGGTAGCGACATGAATCAGTGTTTTGGCATTTGAGGGCAGAGCTCTTTATGACACATTGTGTCAAGAGATGGACAGTCACAGGTTATTGTTCTAAGTATTGTACTTTTTAACGATCATTACTTGGTAAGCTTTCAGTGCAGATGGTTGACTGATAGATGTTGAAAACGCACATAGCCACTGCCTATTCAGTTTTTTCATTGGAAAAAGCAAATTACAATTCTTGGGCTTTAAGGTAAAGATTACTAAGCATACAATGAGGCATCATGGTTGAGTGAAGCACCATTTGCAAGTGCTGCTTGTTATGTGTACCAGACCGCTTCTGGCCATTTCTACCTTTTTTTGAAGATGTGCAGAAGTGCATGATAAATATCTGCTGAAAGAATAAATCAATACATACATGGTACATTAAACCTAATTAAGGGAATACATTTAACTTGATATCAACAATACAGTATGTAGCTTTAGCATTCTTACGAAATTGCTCTCAAAAAGCACTGCAAAACATCAGTTGCACTAGTTTCTGATATTTTGTGCCAAAGCACATTTTTACATTATAGAGACTTGTTGCTTTGTTATTTGTCACTTTTTAATGAAACAGTTGCATTTTAATTTTTGAAGCCTACATTAGGAGATTTCTGTACGAGGAGAGTTTGTCGTGTGTTTTTGACTTCAGCCCCTAAACAAAACTTGATGAAACATAAGATTTAATTGTAAAAACCTGAACATGCTTCATGCATATTTCAAGTTAAGAAAATTAGCTTTCTTTGAATTACAGATGCAGAATATCTCTGACAACAAACATAAACAGGGTGATGTCTAGGAGCTTAGTTCTTTTTATCATTTAGGCTTGATTCAGCAGCTTGTTCTGATTGTTCAAGAGACAGATATTGATTACATGGGCGAGGATATGCAATGTAAAAACAGTAGGTTACACTTTTTGAAGAATTGCTTTTTAAGATGACAGGCTATTGTTTATTAATGAGATGTATACTACAGCTTGAGAAATGCCTGGGTGCAAGGTGTTAAAAGTTCTCTGCACACTGTTGACATTTGAAAATCATTGACAGAAACTGTTATGCTTCTCTTTATGAAGTCCTTAGATTTAGAAGTGAATTGCAAGAATAAAGGCATTCTGTTTGTCAGATCTCAGCAGGGGAACAGCTGCAACAGAGTTTAAATCCTGATTGAATTATGAGTTTAGATATGGAAGGCAAGATGAGGCAGTGTTTCGACCACACATGTAATTTCATCACTTAAAAATTACATTTACGTGATGGTGCATGGCCATAACAGGAAAAAAAACTTGATTCCATCTGAGCAAATGTGTTTTTGTCTAATTACAAATAGAAAATAAAATGTCCATTTGTCTGTTATCAGAAAGTTGCCTAGTCCTTGTAAGGGAGGATTTCCAGCAATCCAAAGCCTATCCTGGAAATATTCAAAGCATATTGTGAAAAAGACAGTCCAGCACTGTACAGTTAATTTGCATTTTAATCACTGAGCAGTTAGGTGATTGAGTGTCTTGCAATAACACAATACTGATCTTAATTTTTGTTGTTTCATAAAAATGGCAGATGCTCTTTTCCTTAAATGAGGTTAAAATTGGCAGAATGAGTTTATAACAATCTGTAGTCATAGCGATTCAAAAAGAACGATTTTAAACAACACAAGAAAACCAAACGACACAACCACTTTGGACTAATGAAGACCTTTTTGGTTACTGTCTAATCGAGTCTTGTGAGAGAAGTTGCCTGGAGAATGGGATGTCTTTAGAGAATCAACATTAGTCCACTGAGACCAGGAAACGAGCTGTGTCAGGAACCAGGTATATCCCAGAAGGCTGTGGGTTATGGTTAAAGCCAAAGATAACCACATTCATTGTATCTGTTTTGAATTCCATTGGCCTCAGCATGAGAAATTACAGGAGGAAATAACCTTTGCATCAAAATGACTGATATAGCACACTGACCGAAGCTTGCTGTCTGGATAATAATGAGACTCGGACGCTGTTCAGACACTCGGACACTGTTGCCAAAAGGAGAGCGTTATGCTGGCTTTTATATTGTTCATGCCAACTGGTGAGAATTTGGGAATGTGATGACAGAGTGAGGAAAGATAGCCTTGAGGGCAAACATGCTGGTACATGATACATCACTAAAATCTTTGAGTCAGCGATTTCCTGACTCCTGACAGGCAATTTGAAGATTGGAAGGTGCCAACTTTGTAGCACGGCAATGCAAAATTACACAGTACTGGGATTACAATGGCACAACGTCGCGGAAAGCAAGCTTTGTGGTCCTGGTGAGGCCAGCCTTTTGTTTGGATCAGAGTTTGATAAAATCAACCAGACAAAATAGCCAGTTCCATTAACGGGATATTACCAACCAGATGGATGTGGTTGAAAATCTTAGAGTAATCTTTGGGGAGGCTCATTCGGTTGTTGCCTCAGTGCTGACTGGATTATGTTAGTGCTCAGCAAAGTTATACCAATATTGTTGTATACAATAGTACAATGTTTTGATTTTTTTCACTCTGCTTATCATCCATTTTCTTTAACTTTTTAAATGAATAAATTAATTCATGGCCTTTAAGTGTTGTTCCTTTAGTGCCTGAAGTACTGTACATGTCTGAATTTGATACGGTTGCATAGACTGAATTCCAGGGTAGCTGGACTCAGAAGTTTACCTTGTGCTTTGGTGCTGATGCACTGATCCCCAATCCAATCCCAAGCGGTCCAGGAGGGTGAGTTTCCAGATGTTTTTAAAGTCCCAGCACCTGAAGAGCTGGTTCAGGCCATTAAAAGCCCAGCTGGATCACGATCGACCACCCCTGCTTTTGTGTATTAGTACAAATGCACAAGGCTTTAAAAACGATTGCTGAAGCATGTGGGGAACCGGCTCACATAACTTCTTCTTCAACCCCATCAAAACATCA